CGACGTGCAGGAGAAGGAACGGGGTGGTTTTTAGTCAGTAAGAGTCTGACACTCCCTCCCGCCTCACCCAGGCGGGTGCAGTCATTCGATGATTTTCCTCCCTTAAAAAAAAAAAGGTTTAAGTAGAAAATCTGCGAAAAATAAGGTACGTAGAGAAATAAAAATAGAAAGAAAAAAAATATGGGAATTAGAAGAATTTAAAGCTTATGTCAATACATTTTACAGTTAAATTGAACTTATCCTTATTACTTCATATTGATGTAATGGATTGAAGTCACGCGCGGTTTCACCTGCTGCTCGACTGTAGTTGATCGTACTTCTCCCGCCTGGGTGAGGCGGGATGTTAGACTTACTCACTACTATTCTATGGATAAGGATCATTTTTTAACATTATTTTTATATGAAGTTTATGTCAAAGAGCGATGAGTATTTTGAAATGTTGTCCGTGCAGGTGGCCCTGAAGGCAGCGTTCCTGTCGCCGACGCTGGTGTGTTGGCGCGGGCACAGTACGCGCCACTGCGAGCGCGCCATCGCGGAGGGCGCGGCCGACTTCGCGCTCTTCGACGCCGCTGACATGCTGCACGCCGCCAACATGCATCGACTCGTGCCTTTTATGCAGGAGGTAAACTTATATTACCTAACTTATACTGACAATTTATGTCTTATTTTCAAGTGGGAGAGCCTTGCTGCGGCAGGAATGGGCTGGCTCGATCGGAGTCGGTCGTTACCACGGCCTCACAGAAAACCGACGTGAAACAACGCTTGCGTTACACATATTTTGTCGTGTGAATGAGGTTACCGGAGGACAAATTACACTTCCCACCCTCCCTCCTCAATCTCCTCAACATCCTCAAATTCCTAATCCTTAAAAGGCCGGTAACGCACTCGGTAACACCCCTAGTTTTCCAGGTTTCCATGGGCGACGCCGATTGCTTACCATCAGGTGATCCGTCAAGTCGTTTAGGTACCAGCGTCTCCTATAAAAAAAATTGACTTCCAAAAGTACCTTCCTAGTTTAAACGTATCGCAGAGGTCTTGAGTGTTTTATTATTAACTTTACTTTATTATTATTAACTTTATTAATTTGTAAACAGAAGTAAAAATTTGCAAAAAAAATCTTAGAATTACATGTACTAACTACTGTAAAGCGAAATCTAATGCACGTATCGAGTACGTCAATAGACACACATTATTATTTTTTTATGGTAGAAAACAGGTACCAAGTAATAATAATTTCTTTCCCATCACAGATCTACTCAAGCGGTGACAACTGGTACTATGCAGTGGCTGTGGCCAAAGAACAAGATCCCGATACAGACCTGACGTACTTACGCGGGAAGAATGCTTGCCACACTGGACTGGGGATGGCCGCTGGATGGGTGTTCCCGCTTGCTTACCTCATATCTAATGGATGGATCAGGTAACATCACTTTTTACCGACTTCAAAAAAAGGAGGAAGTACCCACGCTCATATCATAATGATATAACTTAATGGCCACAAAATTGTAAATTAGGTACCTATCTATTAAGGTTTTAATGAATAATTTTGTACAGAACTTATGGTGCCGACTTCTAACCTCAGTGGGTGGGTAACCTATCAATACTTATAATAGTTAGTTAGTTTTTTCTTTTTAGTTTTGACTTTTTGTTTGTTATTAGTTTTTGGTTTTTTGAAGTCGGTTTTTAAACGCAGTTTTTATTTTATTATAACTTGTAATCTATATATGGGTGTGAAGTGGAATTTTGCAACCATATTTTGAAGTAGATATCTTCACCCGATTCAGGTATCATTGTTTAAAAATGCTAAGCAGATTCTTGAAAACAATTTTATTTTATTTGAAAACGAACGTAATATTTCGTAGATCATACGGTTGCGACGGAGCGCACGCGGCGGCGGAGTACTTCACGAAGTCGTGCGCGCCCGGCGCACTCAGTGCCGAGTACGTGGACTCCGGCACCGTGCCGCACGATAACCTATGTCATCTCTGTCATGGCGCGTCCTTCAGGTAAATACTATTACGAATATTGTAAATGTGAGTTTGTGTGTCTATTTCTTAATCAATCACATGAAATCGGCTGAAGGAATCGAGATGTAATTTGAAATAAGGTTGATTATGGTCGGGAATAACACTTTATAGACTATTTTTATCCCATTGGAACGCAGCCGAAGCTGCTTGCTAGTTTTCTATAAATAACACGCTTTTATCAAACTTCATCAACACCAGCCTATAAGTATCCACTGCTGAGCAAAGCCCTCTACTCACACGGAGATCATACGTCCGTATGATCATTAATCACAATTTGTGTAGATTAGATGACCAAACCATATTATTTATTTATTTATTTCAATTAAATTGTATAACATTACAGTCATAAAACCAAGGCGTTATACATTATTAATAATTCTAAAAAGAACTGTTATGAACCGTTGCACTGGTCTGATGATGGAGTTGGAAGGTGGCTGATGGATCCTTGGGTTAACTACTAGTAAACTACTTGTAGTGTTGTATAAATCAATGTGTAGCCATGTTTTACTTGCCAACTTAGGTACAGTAGCCAGTACATCAATTGACTCCAATGTGTCAATTTTTGTAATTGGATTTTTGTCTTTATCCCTAAACGATAGAGTTGAAAATCTAATAAAAAAAGACAGAAAAGAATAGGTTGTCTTGCTACCCACTGTACAACCCTGTATTTTTGTAAGTCGGTCTGTGTTATCCCTGCAAATATACAGGCTTGTATTGATATGTTCCTCATTTAATTACCCAGACGCTGCCGACGCGACGCTAGTGAAGACTACTTCGGCCATGTAGGCGCGGTGCGTTGTATGGTAGAGGGAGGTGGGGACGTGGCCTTTGTCCGTCACTCGGCTCCAGCTGAAGTGTCTGCTGGAAGACGTCGGGAGTGGTGGGCTAGAGATCTCTTACCCGACGACCTGCAGCTGTTATGTCCTGATGGTAAGTTTCAGTGCAAATAAACTTCTAAGCCATTTATCTATGTTTTGTGAAGTCGAAGAGTTTTTGAACAAGCTCTCTGGAACTACTAGTTTCAATTGAATAATTAGTTTGGATATTTAATTTATCACAGAAAGTTATAGGATAGTTATAGTTACGTGAGTAACCCGCGATTTTTAGTTAATTTAGGATGTCTCACGAGAGTTATTATATAATATGTATCATGAAACAATAACAAAATACATCACATTCATTAAATTTGTTTACGTGAATTATACACATTATGTTTTACAGGTACTCGCGCAAAAATGCATGAATACAAGCACTGTAACTTAGGCAAGGTGCCTGGTTCGGTTCTAATGGGCAGACCCAACCATACTGAGTTGGATACATACTCCAACTTGATGGTGTATGCTCAACAATTCTATGGAGCTGTTACTACTGACGAATTCAGGTAAATAATAATATTTTCATGTTAATAGGTACTGTAAAAAATTGTAACTCGTTTGTCATTCAGACATTTTAAATTCAGTAAATGTGAATACTTGTTTGTTTATGCTTTCCGTTTCATGAAACACCAAAAACTATTTTTTCTTTTGTAATTTTAATCATAATATGAAACTATCTCATTCCTGAGCAAAAAAATAATAGTATATTTTTATTGCCACTGTTTATGGCGTAGATTATAAAAATAAGTCTTTATACCCGGAATTTTAATTCGATTCCAGATTTGACAATTTCAGTGTTGCAACGTTATGACAAGTACTAAATAGTGACGTTGCGAAATTATTCGATATGGAAATGCAAAATTTCTGGATCGATTCTTCTCGTTTATAATTTTACTCTCGTAAACTAAGTATATCAGGAAATTAAATATTTCTGAGCCGATAATTTAGCTTTGACGAATAATTAACGATCTGAGACTTTTCTTTTATAATTGTGTGTGAAATAAATAAAAAAATTTAATCATGAAGGAACATGACAAATAAAACAGATAGATGTATTACGGTAACAAGTTATTTTATAAATTGTCGTCGTCATCGCTATCGCTATCCTGTCACTTTCTGTAACATTTATTAGAAAACACACACACTGATTGTTCATCGATTTTTGTATTCATCACTACACTATTATATGTGGTATCATTATTTCACAAAATGACAGTAGCTATTGTCAAATCTGGAATCTAATTAAAATTCTGACTATAGTTATGAATCAGCCCTTTAGTTCACTAGGTTGAATCACCCACACTCGAAAAAGGTAACTTAAATACGCAAAAATTAAAATTCTATTTTTTTTTTCAGTTTCAGCATGTTCTATTCTCAACCGCCTTACTCCGATCTAATATTCAGCGACGTGGCTGTACGCCTGAAGCCTTTGGCTCACAGCAAACGATCAGCTGAAATTGTCGCTGGTCCAGCATTAATAAGAGCAGCTCGAATTGTCTCCTGTGATGCTCCACAAGCTTCATATTACGTAGCGTCCGATCCTGACTTCTTGTCCCATGCATACAGCAACGGTGTAATGGGACATCTATTAGGAATTTCCCTATTTCTCTTAGCTTTATTAAGATAGATTTACCTCCAAATTATGCTTAAGATAATTGTAGTTTTGAACCCCAACTGATACCAGTAAGCAGCTGATAAAGATTTTATGGCATTTATTTTTATTTTTGAGAAGATTATAATATGTATGTTTTAAGACATGTTATATTTATTATGTACCAAGCAAAAGACAGTGATGTACAATTGAGTTTTTATCTACTTTATATTTTACAAAAATAAATCATTTGTTTTTTAACATGTAATAGTTGTAAGTATTATACTTTTGTAAGACATTCCTAAGTGACTTAATAGATCTGAGCTATGATATTATAGTCTAAGACAATGATGTAATCTGATTAAGGATAAGTCGTTTGTGTTTTGCAGCTGTAACTTCTTTACATCCGTCCAAATGTGTGCCTAGATAATCTAGATATTATTTTTAATCATTTTTATACCGTCCAAGTGAATAGCTTTATGTATTTTTTTGAAATAAAATATTTTTAACATTATGCACATTTATTTTATTACAATTACAATAACCTTTTATGATGATAACATTCAAATCCTTTAGGTAAAACATCGAACTCTCGGAAAATCTTCCGTAAATCAGATCTCCGACATACTTCTCTTATCGATTTACGTTCACATTCCCCATTTGTGTCGATCCTCCTTGCGTGTTCCCGCCACTTTCCAAATATACAATCAGATTTTCTCAATTCATCGTTTACAGCAGGCACCAGCCCACTACATTTTGGAGTTTGTTTTGCACATAGATAAAGAGCTTTCCATGAAAGATATCTAAAATGGTTGATGCAGTACATAAAAATAAAATCAGATGGCTTATTTTTTATTGACATTTCTATCATGGAATTACTTAATTTTACAGCTACCCTCTTCTTGTACAGCCATAAAAAGTTCTTCATTTCTTGTTCATTGCATAGTATTGCCATTATGGTACAGAATTTATTAGCTGATAGGCAAAATGTAGTAAATATGTGCTTCCATATTAGTTCTTCATTATTATAATTCAAATTAAAGATGTGGCTGTTAATTGGAATCCCTGATTGACCAATCCGACTCTCAATAAACTTGTGTATTTCAGAAACTCCACTTGTAAATGCAATTTTATAACACATTTGTCCAACAAATATGTTATTGGCCCTACTCACTTGCATAGTTACAGTATTGTAACAGTACCCAAGGAAAAATATATCTTCACTTTGCTTTATGCTCTCATGAGGAAAATTGACTGTAGTTTTCTCATAGTTCACATTTCGATAATTTGATAATGCATTTAAAAAAAATCTAGCATCTGCTAAAGAATCTGTAATGTACAGATAATCATCAACCACTCGAATAAACAATTTAACTTGATTATGTGTTTGCTTCATGTGTTCACAGAAGTATATTTCGTCCAGATATGTGTAATATAATTCGGACAACGCTGGGGAATATTTGTAACCCTGAACTAATCCTTCTTTCCACTCGTAAACTGTAGATCCAGCACGTATCAAGATTGGTTTCCGCAGTTCTGTTACTAGATCTCTATACTGTTGAGCAATTTTCTTCTTCATACCAATACACTTTTCAGTCTTCTGCATATTTATATGTTTCTCAGACAATATTTTTGATAACTTCTCTCTATTAATGCAACCAAAAGCGTTACTTAGATCTGTCTTAATAAAATAAAGCTTGGGCTTATTTGCAGCTGCCCATTTAGCATGCAATGTTTTGTATTGATTTTCTAGTTTTAATGGCGGTTTGCCAGTCAATGATCTCAAAAATTTTAATCTGTCTTTAAATCTATATTTCTCTGATTGACTTAGTAATTCATTTTTGTAGCAAACAATGGGTCTGCAGTCATTGTTAGGCTTCAATGTTAAATATAATTTTGGAATGCTTCTTTTCAACATTTTTAGTCTTAGTCTATCTGCTAGATTGTGGTTCTTCTTTGTCTTTTTACCCAGTGAATTTATTTCACATTTCTTCATTACCTTACTAAATACCATTTTAGAAACTTGTTTATCATAAAAGCTCTGCCATTGATTTTTCCAAAAATAATGAAGTTTGTTTTCATTAGCATCTAGTTTGCATGTTGTAACATAAAAGTTAAGGCAGATCATTGGAGATAATACATATTTGCTCAGCCAAAATAAGATCCTGAGTAATATTAATTTTGCTTTTATTGTTATTATATTTTTCCAAGGTACCACTTCCAAATCCCATCCAACAATAACTCTTTGAAGAATAAAATGCTGCCGTTTCATGCTATAAACCACAGTTCGAAGATGATCCTTGATAATTTTTTTGTTTTTATCATGTCCATAAAAGTTTCTTGGAAATATTTCATTTATTGCTTTCCAACAATTATTTAAAATATACTCTTTGTCGACAGGACGTAATTGTGGAATACTATTCACAGGAAAGTAGTCATGGAAATCTAATTTTGATTTGTTTCTAAGATTTATTTTAATACCTGATAATATATTGATAAAATCAGGTGGTAAATCACTCACCGAGACACCATCTCCGAAGATAAATTCAACGAAACCTTCTACACTTTCGTGTTTCAAAATATCACATTTTATTATATTGTTAAAAGACCGAACATTTTGTTTATTTACAAAATATTGTGACAAACAAACTGGACTTTCCATAAGTAGGTATTGTTATTTATTTTATTGAAATGTATAAATAAAAAATGTATTACTATTACGTCCGCGGTGGTTTGAAAGTTTTTATTTTCAAACAAATCTGACAAGGCGGCAACTTGTCGTGACGTGTTTGTTTGATAACGAACGTTTAGTTATCTGAAACGTACGGTTCATTTCTTTACATTAAGAAAAGTTTTTAAAACGTGACATTGTAGTAGGTATATTTTAATTAGAAATCATTTACATTTAGTACATTACTAAAAGAAAATATGTACAACTTAAAATATAAATAACTATGAACTAAAATATTTATACCTAAAAAAATAATGTCAATAATAATAAAAAAAAATTCCTCATCGCTAAATACCTATCGTGAGGAAGGGTGCCCAAAAGACTATTGCCATGACATGGCAATGCTTAACCTTTGTCCAAGGTAGATGTCCACTTGGGCCCCACAGCCCTAAAGTTTCAACTCCAAACGATTCGAAAGCATAATAGCCAATTAGGCTATCATACTTTCGGCTTTTGAGGTTCTCGGCAGCAGCAGCGGCAGCACCGGCTCGACACGCTGATTTTGGAAGATAGGATGGCGCCAGAGTATCAACGCAAGTGGCGTCCCATACTAAAGGCCACATCTTCCAAGGGAATAATGACATGCCGTCGGGTCTCTTGCCTCTCGTTGCGCACTAAGCCATTAGGTTCTAAAGTAGGCACGCTAACGGAGACAAGAGCTCGATGAATTTGCGTGTCGAGCAATACGACCTGCACTACGGCTACACGACAAGCCGTGGTGTCCAAGGCTGTTGACAACTTTACTACAACGACAACGATGAGGTGAACAAAATAAAGCCCCAAGCCTTAAACAAATTGCAATGTGGTGTCGTCCAACAAAGTACCTAAGTTGGACAAAGGCAAAGCAAGAAGCCATAACCCCGACTCCACTCACCCACAACCAAAAGGCGAGCTCGCTCTGCAGTTAAACAAGCGGAGTTCAACAGATTTTCGCTCACTTTTCTGCAGAGCGGCTCGTCCCATTGTCTCTGGGAGAGTGAATTGACGGGGGGTCAATAGTTGGGCAAGCGATTTTCCAAGCTTTCACAGCTTCCACTAAACATGGTACATCAAAATTAACCAGTGATTGAGAAAGAATTTTCCTGGTTAATTCTTCAGTACCTACCATGTGCGGAAGATATGAAAGCCGGTAGGTAGGCTTACACTGGAAATTTTACGTACGCCTGGCTCGGTCGTCGAGAGCCACATTCAAAATTAAGGACAAAGTTTGTCTAATGATTCGGTCAATTTTTTCTAAAAGGGGTGCTGACCAGATGTGGGTCGAGCGCAGATAGTAGGTACATACATAAATTTGGGACTAAAACAACAAAAACGAATAATAGTAATAAACTACATCAGTATTTTTAGTTTTAATAACTTATGTTTTTTTATAGTTGATAGTTTGTAAATGTTTACTTTAACAAAGTAATATTTTGAATAGCCACAAACGTTTATGTTGCGTGAGAAACATTTTTGCCTTTTGTTAGTCAAGTAGGCGGAGGTTAGTTATTGGTACACAGGCCACGCATCAATCTATACAAATCCAGTTTATCCTGGTGTCGCGTCGCATCATCTCTCCGCACATTTAACGTTCAGTTTATACTGGTTATTATAGCTCGATGTGTAGCCGTGTATACCTACTGTAAACTGTCTGTTTCACTTTGTCAATAGAAGTTATGGCAGTAATAATGACAATTTTGACAGTTGTAAATGTAAACATCGGAACAATACTGTCTATAAAACCTGTAAAATGATAACGTTATTAAATGTTACCGATAGACGCGAAGACGTATCTCAATTCATTATCAGTGTTCATACTTGATATACTTAGTTTTAATAGCAAGTTTGAATTTTAAAGTGCCAAAAAGATATACACAAAAATGTCTAAACAAATTGTTTTTGACATGAGAAAGATTTTCGCAAGTAGTGTATCTGCAGTGCTTCCAGATCATCTAATAAGAAGGTCCGTGAAATATAATCATTCAAGCCAACAGTTAATTATAGGCGGTGAACATTTTTGCTTACGTAATAAAAATGTTCATTTGGTCGGAAGTGGAAAAGCAGTGCAAAACATGGCCAAAGAAGTTGAGAGAATCTTGAATGGAAAAATCAAACATGGAATCATAAGTATACCTGACGGCACCCTCAGTTCTAAGTCAAAAAATGAAAATATATTTTATTATGAAGGTGCTCTAAACAATCTGCCAGACGCTAACGCTGTAATCACAGCTAAAGCAATCAGAGATCATGTCATGAACCTTGGCTGTGATGATTTGCTCTTAGTTTTGTTATCTGGCGGAGGATCAGCTCTTATGCCATTACCTAAACCTCCCATTAATCTTGATGAGAAAATAAACCTAATAAAACAATTAGCTAACAGTGGTGCAGAAATAAAAGAATTAAACACTGTCAGAAAACGGATATCGGATTTGAAGGGAGGTCAGCTGGCAATTAAGGCTCAACCAGCTCAAGTTATATGTTTGCTCTTGTCTGATATTGTAGGAGACCCAATTGATTTCTTAGCAAGTGGACCCACTACAGAAAATACAGACAAGCCATCTGATGCTGTGGATATAATTAGCAAATATAATTTAATGGATCAACTTCCAGAATCAATCAAAAATGTTTTAAGTGATAATAGTGTTAAAGATCAATTTCCTCATGACAATGTTAGAAACTATATTATTGGATCTAACAAAATTGCTATAGCTGCAGCTTCGGAAGAAGCAAAGAAATTAAATTATCTGTCTTTTCCCCTGTCTAATGAAGTTACAGGAAATGTGAAAGAAGTTGCTTCTGAATATGTTAAACTAACACAACATTTATGCGACTATCTATCTGGAAAAATAAACTTAGAAAATTTAAGTCTATGTGTCAAAGCTTGTAATATTCCTGGAATTCATGAGAAAAAATTGGGCAATTTGACACCTAAAGATAAAAATTTGTGTTTAATACTTGGTGGAGAAATAACTGTGAATGTAAAAGGATCTGGGAAAGGAGGCAGAAATCAACAATTGGCTTTAGAATTCTCTGAGTGCATTCATAATAACAAAGATAACTTTAAGAACTTTAATGTTCACTTCTTAAGTGCTGGTACTGATGGAATTGATGGCCCCACTGATGCAGCTGGTGCTATAGGACATCTAAATTTAATTTCTGATGCTAAACAGAAGAATATTGACTACCAGAAGTACTTGTGCGAGAATGACAGTTACAATTTCTACCGCAATCATTTTGATGGACAGTATCATGTTATTACAGGCCATACAAACACTAATGTAATGGATATACATATTATAGTTATTACAAGGGAAACAAAGGATCAATAAATTAAATCTGTATTGTTAATATCTTTTATATTTTTATGTTGTTTAATATATTTTTATATTGTTAATTGTTTATTTTCTATGAAGATGGTTTTAAAAATAGACTGAGTTTACTTTTTTTTGTTTCTTCTTTTGATTTCAGTTTTGCTGAAGCTAATACAGCCTTCTGGCACAATCCTGCAAATTTGTCCTTTTTCTTTTTATTATTCTTAATAACTTTTGGTGGCTCCTTGGTGACCAAAGCATTGTTTTTGTTTTTCAATGAAAATACATCTAAGGCATTGGAATACACATTAATTTCTTTCTTCTTGGCTGGTTTACTGTTCTTTGGCACTTGCTTTTGTACATTATTGTTGGCTTTGGGTGTATCAATTTGCTCAATTTTGGTTGTGCTATCAGGTAATTCAGTATTTTCAACTGCAGTAACTTCTCTTTGTGGCTTTATGGAAGTGGAGAATGTACTCTTTTTACAGAATGTACAAATTTGTTCCTGTAAAAAAAACAGTTTGAATTAATAACTTATATTTAGATACATTCTTAATCAACACTAATTACTTGCATTTGATTAAATACTTACTACTTTATTACAGTGTACTAAATTTTGTTTCCGTCTTATAAATTCTTTTTTGTTTTCTTTCGTTTGACGTGATTTCAGTCTCTTCTTTTGGCGTTTTGTTAATAATATAGGATTTATCTGGAAGAAAGTACCTTTAGTTATTGGAAAAGTGGTTACATAAAAATGCACTTAAAACTCAAATTCATTGTATTCATACAACTCTAAATAATACCTTGACTTCAGAGTCCTTCCACTCAAGACAGCATTTAGGACATCTTATCTTCGTAGCAAAGTACTTGTCGGGGAGACCGTATCCTCTCGTTATTTCCTTACAGCGCATTCTATAAAAAGCCAGCAAGATCAAAACAAATTTAAGGCGTTGAGTAACGAATGGAGTTTCTTGCTCGTTCTTCTCCATTCGAATCTACGTTTTGGAATGAGCACCTAGCTTCACCTAGCTTCACTGACGGACTGACTGACAGACTATTATTTATTTTGTATTTGTTGACATTTCAAAAGTACCAAACTATGGTTTAATTGAAATAAATGCTTTGACTTTGACTTTGACTTTGCACTTAAATAAAATAATTAACTTAAAATTGTACTTATACTTACAAGTAATAACTTTGCAACAATGATTTTGAATTTGATTCATTGTTTTCCAAACGCGATACGACTGAAGCTATGTTATACAGAAAACCAACTTGTGCTTCCGTCATTATGAACAAATTAATTAAAACACAACATCCAATTGCACATTTATTATTTCTGTTCACTTTCACCAGGTTCACGTTTTGTTTATTTATTTTTTCAATTTGAGGTTAGAAAATCACAATGTGACTCTGACATTACATTCGAGTGTGACCAATGAAATGTGCAGGGGCCGCGCACCTTTCGATTTTTATTTATTTATTTACACTTCTTGCAATTTATTATAATGGCGGACTTATTGATGGAGTGGCATTCTATAACAGTCAACCTTATATCACTTACCTTTAGATATTACTTACCTTTAGATCATGGTAATGGTGAGCTCTCTAAGGCCTGCCATGCATGATACGGATTGTTTAAAGTCAGGATCAGGATCAGCTGCGCCCAAACTGTTTTAGGCGGTTGACATTTCATCATGCCGCCAAGTTTATAAATAAGCTGACACCAAGCAATCCAAGCATATTGGATACCTGGCGTCTGATTATTTATCTGCTTCTACTCGCTCGTGCAGTCATGGTGTATACCGCATATTATACTGACTACTCGAGCTGTCGACAGCTCTCGAGCGGTCGCGTCGCGTCCCCAACCAACCCCGTCCGTGCTCTTCATTGCATGTCATTTTTTAATAATATTGAAACTACTTAGGCACTGCTTGAGCGCCATTAATAGAATAACCATTTTTATCAACAGCAACTTGTGTCAAACTGTCAACTGCTCGAGCAGGACGAGCAGTCTATGTATGGCAGGCTTTGATTTTATTATGTACTTTATTTCTGAACGACCGTGTAGTTAATATAATTCCCGCCAAAACTTACACCGTATTTTCTTATGTCAAAAGTTGAAAAACGCGATTGTGATTGCGTTGTTCGATCTAGATTTCGCGCATTTTTGTAATAGTTTACTTTTTAGTACAATAGAAATTTTCTAAGATAAGTAGTTTTACATTTACCATTCGTAAATATATTCTTTCTGATAGAAGGTAACACGTTAACTATTCATATATAAAGTAATAGAAGCATGATGGTTTCCAACGCGCAACAATAAAGAACAAGCCCAGTGATAATATTAAGTGTTTTCGTTATGTATTGATTATGTATTAAGTATAATCAAGTTATATTTTCCCAAAGTGTGTTAAATTTAGTTATTTGCGAATAAATACTACGCTTTACTAACTTAAAAAATGGATGTAGCCGATACTTACGCTACACAAAGCCAAGTCAAAGACGAGGTTGGAGTTCGATGCCAAAAGCTTTTCCAGGATTTCTTAGATGAGTAAGTGTCGTTATACGTTTCTAAGTGGTGTTATATTTATATTTTTAACATTTTCAAACTAACTACATAACAACAATGAGGTTATGTTTTTTTTTCTTATTAGTTTGTATTTTGTAACGCAGGTTCAAAGAAGATAATGAAGTGAAATACGAAAAGGCGGCTAAAGAACTGTTAAAACCCGAATTAAGTACCTTAGAGGTCAGTTTCGATGATGTTGAAAAATACAATCAGAATCTTGCTACTACAATTATTGAAGAGTATTACAGAATATATCCGTTTTTGAATCAAGCTATATTGAATTATGTGTTAAGTCTTGCTGATAGTGGTGTGAAGAAGGAGCTGCAAGGCAAGGAGTGTTACATTTCATTTGTTGATGTGCCTACTAGACATAAAGTGAGAGAACTAACTACTGCAAAGATTGGCACATTGATTAGAATCTCAGGACAGATTGTGAGGACTCACCCAGTGCACCCTGAGCTGGTCTTGGGCACTTTTGTCTGTTTGGATTGTCAGACAGTTATCAAAAATGTTGAACAGCAATTCAAGGTGAGTTTTATGAATCAAGTTGTTTTCTTATTAGATTATTATATATATTATTATCATTTTTAGTAAAATTGCACTAAGATGATATATATAAATGCCAAATTACCTACTTTGTGTTTATTTGAAGTTGTTGTGTTACAGTACACAATCCCAGCCATCTGCCGTAACCCAGTGTGTGCTAACCGTCGCCGCTTTATGTTGGATGCGGACAAGTCTGTGTTTGTTGACTTCCAAAAAGTCCGCATTCAAGAGACACAGGCTGAACTCCCCAGAGGATGCATCCCTCGCTCCCTTGAAGTTATATTGAGGGCTGAAGCTGTGGAATCTGTGCAGGTATGGATCTACGCATATATTATACATTTATTAAAGTAGTAAGAACTATTTTCAATTTTAGTTTGACTTAAGTATTTTAAATATTCATGCATCTAATGTATTTTATGAAAGAAATAGCTTTACATCATGATATTTGTGTGTATTGATATGTATATCATGTGTCAATACACAGTACAATACATAATAATATATTACAGTAATAATATACATAATTATGAATACACAAATTATGATCATCATCTGTGTGTGTGTGTGTAACAGATAGAACAGGTTTGTACAATTTCAGGGTGACATTGTTCAGAATTAAATCTGATTTACAAAACCATACCATTCAAAATCCTTTACTTGTATTTTATTATGATAAAATATTACTTCCAGGCTGGTGATCGATATGATTTCACTGGAACTCTGATAGTGGTTCCTGATGTAGGCTCCCTTTCATTACCAGGAGCTAAAGCAGAACTCACTACAAGAACTAGACAAGGAAATGACGGTCAGATGGAAGGTATCAAGGGTCTGAAGGCCTTAGGTGTCAGAGAACTGCATTATAAGTGAGTTGTATTTAATTTTATAAGTTTATTATTATAATAAGTGACTTGTATTTAAGTTTCTGCCACACAATAAATGAGTAACAATACTAAAATAAATTCATTCTTATTACAGAACAGCCTTCTTAGCGTGCAGTGTACAAGCAATATCGCGTAGATTTGGTACTGCTGAGATGGCCACCGATGACCTTACCACCGAGGACATGAGGAAGCAAATGACTGATAAGGAATGGGATAAGGTACGATGTATTTTCTTCTCTAATTAAAAATAATGAAATCAGTGTGTATATTATCAAGTTTGCCGATTTACGAATATATATGGATTACTAGCTAAGTAGCTACCCCATGCGGTTTCACCCGCTCTGCTCGGCTCTTATTCATCATAGTGTGATGTTTTATAGCCTATAACCTTCCTCAATAAATGGACTATCCATCCCAAAAAGACTTATTCAATTCAGACCAGTAGTTCTGGACATTAGCGCGCTCAAACAAACGAACTATTCAGCTTTGTACAATAGTATAAGATAAGATTAATTAATAACTTAAACATAAGAAGGGAAAATATTTAAGTTTTAACTAGTACTAAGTGTACAGAGACCAAATCACAAGCCATCCAAACAAGCTAGGAGAAAACATAATGGACACCCAAACAGTCGCTAGATGACTAAAAAAAAGATTCCTCAAGACCTCATTTAGAAGGTTGTAAAAATAAACGGGGCAGTTACTGGACAGCCCGCATACAAGTCTGCTGGATTAACAAAAATGTTGCGGAATATTATCTAGTGTCCGTGACCGAGGCCAGATGTTGTCGAAAATGGTCATTTGAATCTTATAGATAATTAGTTTTGCGGCTTCTGTAATTGTTGCGCACATTTTTAAATTTGTTGCGCTTTTAGTTATTTATTATTTCACAAAAACATTTCCTGCTGGGGTAACGTTACCCCAGCCAGACCTTTTTCTTTCTAATATGTATTTAAATAATTACAAGCTATAAAATTTGTTGTCTAGATGAAGTAAATTTTGTGGCTTATTTTGTATTTGTTCTTTTATTGGTTGCGAAGTTATTCGAGT